CAGAGGAGAGAGGCGGAAGGCAGGGAGGCAGAGGTTTCTTGCATTCGTGTGGCTGAATTTCGGAGAGGGGTGGTGGGTGGGTGTGTGTGGTGGTGGGGGCACCATCCACCTCACCCTTCGCTTGACTGAGACCTTTGCCTGAACCAGGACTTGCAGCTTCCAGGGTGTGCTGCTCTGCTCATTGCCTCCCCCCACAACCTGTCTGATCCGTCCCGTTTGAAATGAATAAAACTAAAAAAAAAAAAAAAAAAAAAAGACAGCAACCTAACAGAAGCATCTTTGGGACGCCACAGAAATCCTTACTGAACACCCGCACACAAAAGTACTCTGTGAGGTGTGTTTTAAAGAGAGAGGCAGCTGAGCACTTGAAGACGTATTTAGAAATAGACATATAGATATATACCCTGTTTTCTTGTGGGAGATCTCCTTTGAGCAAAGGTAAGTGTATATATCTAATCATCCCCTGAACACCCCCTCCCCCCCCTTCTGTCATTCCTCTCCCGTTCCCCCTCATAAAGGTATCACAATATAAGACCCCTGAAAAGACAGTCTTTTTTTTTTTTTTCCCTCTCTCTCTCTCCTCTCTGTCTCTTTAATAGGGGTTGGGGTGGTGGGTGGATTAAGTAAATTGTCTCATCAAATGTATGATGAGCTGCAGGACCAGGGCACAGGCAAAAGGGAATCGGACCAAGAAGAGCTAGCTCTTTATGGCAATCCTTTTGCAAAGATTTCCGAAGGGTCTGTAATTAAACTGGGTAGTTTACTCTCAGGAAATGAAGAAACTGCTTGCCTGGCTGGATCCAACCTTTAGCTTGGCTGAGTAAACAAAAGCACAAATTCTTCTTTCACTTTTTCTCTCGCGGGAGGGGGGAGACTTTAGGGGGGAGGGGGGGCCAGGAAAACAGGGGTTTGCTGTGGGTTAATGGTGTTTTTCGCAGAGTGTCAGCAGAAGATGATTAAATTCCACCTCTTGTTCACCAGATCACTTTGTGTGCACTTGTATATTTCATTGTCGGCAGCCGCTGATGATCACATCTGTGCAGTACATTAAGTGGCAAGCCTCTTCATCTGCACGGGGTTTTTTCTGATGATTTTTTTTCTGTGAATAATTCATATGATTATGAAGAGAAAAACTGCTATTTTCTATCTCTCTCTCTCTCTTTCTGTAGCACAGATTAAAAAAAAAATCTTGCTGTAAATTGCGTGATTGGGGAGATAGCCTGCTTTCAAATAATTTAATTCATGACAAAACCTAATTACTGTCAGGTAATACCCTGTCAGCTTTAATGCATTTCATCAGTCATAATGAAAAGAAGAGCATTTTATGACCCATCTAATTATCATTACATTTTAGGGGAAAATGAATGGCATGGAGCTGAATGTTAACTATTCCATTTTATTCCTTTACACATGTGGTTTGGCATATTATTCACTAAGTTCCTCTCTCTCTCTCTCTCTCTCTCTCTCTCTCTCTCTCTTCCCTTGCTTGCCCATACAAGTGTGGGGTAAATGCTAAAACTGAGAGAAAAAAAGATTGGGGGGAAGCTGGGTGTGGGTGGGAAACACAATTAGAGATCTGGGTGTTTGTCCCTTAAAAAAATACGGTGACAAAGTGGTTCATGTCTTTGCAGGTTGGTGTTGATATCGAGAATCTTACTGCCACAGTCCAAATAGAGTACTAATTACTGCGAATGATGTCACCGTAGGCAGAGGAATAATCCCATCATTTAATTAGTTGAATGATTTAAACAAAGATTTGCATAGATGCACTAATCAGTTGCCATGAATTACAGAGCAGCAGTTGCCAGCGAGGGGTAACAGATCATACAGTTGGAGGGAAAAAAAATCTCATCTCCTTGAACATAATTAATTTAATTGTCCTCATTAGCTGTACCATTTGTTTTGATTTTATTTCTCCCTTTCCCCACACATACTTCTCCCTCCCTCCCTCTTTTCTTCTTCTTCTCAGTGCATTGGCTGAGAGAGAGCGCATGAGACACACACACACACACCACACATGCACACACACACTGGGGTGTTTCAGAGTGGCTGGAGCAGAGAGGTGGGGTGCAGCAGCGGGAGCTGTGTGGATGGGTGAGGTGCATGTGTGCCTGCTGACACGGGCCAGAAAAGCCAAACTTAGGAAATCAGCCTATGTACAGAACAAATCATCTGAAGGGGTTCTCGTTAATCTGCCGTCTGTGACTTTCGTTATTTTTCAGGTTAGTTCTGAGTTTTGTTGCCTTTTAAAGGGAGAGGAAAGCAAACTTCATACTATATTATTATGGGCTTATAAAAAAGGAGGAGGGATAAAAATCATTTATCAATGTTGTATCCTTCTATAGGAAGAGGAGCATAATTTAGCCAAAGTATTCCTGGGGGTGGGGCTGCCTTTATTTATTTATTTCCTTACTTATTTTTACAACTAGAACTAGGTTAAAACGGATGGTGCTGAGAATAAAAAAAAAGTTTTTTTGGAGTTCAACAAATGGATCTTTCTTGGCCTTTAAAACATTACAGCCAGGGTCATTCAAATCTGGACTATTTTTAAGCTTGACCTTTGACCTGGCTTTAGAGAATCTGGGGAGGATGCTAAGATAGTTGCCAAAAAGAGATGATGACTTTCCATTTTGAAAACTAAAAAAAAAAAAAAAAAGAATAAGATACTTTCAAGCTCCTAATGGCCCTTACAGATGTAAAGTTAAGAGGAGAAAAGGTTGGGGAGAATGGGACCTACATCAAGAAGGAAAAAAAAAAACTGACCAGGCCTCTAAAACAAGCCTATGAAGACGCCCCATGGCTCTTTGGCCAAGTTAGTCATGAGAACATGTTTATGGGTGTTCGTGGGTGTTTTTCATTCCGGCATGTACATTTTAAATGGGGAGAAATTCAAGTAGTTGCAGGAAGTGTTTAAATGGGGGATGGGAGGGGGATGGGGAGTCTTGGTCCATGGGGAACACGTTCAGCCTCGTGCTTGGGCCGTTGGAGTAGGGGAGGAAGGGGAGTGTGTCATCTGTTGAAGCCACTCGTGTGGCAGACCTGCCTGCGGAGCAGCGACTTTCGAGAGTTCATGAATGGGAGTCAGAGACCGGGCCACTGCAGCCACCCCCAGACATTTACGAAAGGGGAGGGCTGTGTGCTTTCCCAGGGCGTTCTGGTAGCAGTTGGCTTGCCTGGCTTTTCTTTTAATTCCCATCATTGGCGGCTTCAGAAAAAGGCTTTGGAATAGTTTGCTTTAAATGTGTCCACCTACTCCCCAAACGCCGGGGTTATTTGAGGCACCCCACTCTTTTCCGGGGAGCTCCTTCGCGGGACTTCTTTTGAACCGGTCCAGGAGGTAGGGTCCCTCCCGAGCCGCCTCCTGCAGAGGTCACTTTTTTTGCGCGCGGGGTTGTCCCCAGCGTTTGTGAGCAGCATATGCATGTGGCTGAGCTGACGGCACTCGCAGGCTTGTAAATTTTCACCCTGGGAAATTAGCAACAAAGCCCGATCTGTCTCGCGGCTGCTTTGCCACTTTCCGAGGGCGGCTGTACTTGACTGAGCTGCAGAACAGGCACTGGAGAGCGAGCGAGCGAGCGAGGGAGCCAGCGAGCGAGGGAGGGAGAGAAGGGAAGGAGAGAAGAGGGGAGGGGTGGGGGCGAGAGGTAAATAGTCTTCCATCGGGAGGGAGCTGCTTCTCTGTGGTCTTGACAAGCGCTGCCGGGGCTCCGCCGGCTCAGTAATAACCGAGTGACCTTTTCTCGGGCTGGATGAGGTCTGGCTGGGCAGGGATTGCATTCTGCAGCTGAGAGCCCGGGCCGCCTTCAGCGCGGCTCCTTGCGTGCTGCGGGGGTAAGTTGTCTGGAGCCAGGACCGAGAGAGACCGCCTCGGACTGCGGTTGCCTAAAAGGAGGACGGACACCTGTGGCTCAGAGGCGATCCACACCGTTACTTGGCGGATCCTTGAGGACCTCATTATTGTAAACTTAAAAAAAAAAAAAAAATAGAGATTCCCTCCCCCTCTTTTTTTTTTTTTTTTCAAACAATGCTTCTTTTTGACCTTTCCCAAGGAGAAGCGCTACAAAGCAGCCCCTGGGCTTTCTGAACCGCCTCCCCCTGTATCGCTTAATTGAGAAGGTAAGTGCGGCGGCTGTGTGCACACGCGGCGGCCGCTTTGCGGTGTGTGTGTGTCTGCGGGCGCGCGCGTGCGTGTGCGGATGTGGGTATTTTTTTTTTTTCTCTCTTCTCCTTCTTCCCCGAGCCTCCTAATGAGGCATAAACTGGAGCTGCAGCCCGGCTCCGCGCTGCAACTTTTGCTCGGGCTGCAGCTCTGCCGAGACGGTTTTGCTTAAATCATATGAGGCTTCATTATTTTTATGATGAGACATGAAATGCCCGCGGAAGCTGTGGCTGGAAGGAGGGAGCGCGGCTGCGGCGCGGAATGTTTCAAGTCCGACTCGAGTGGGTAATAGTCAAAGTTCACGCCGGATTGCAGCATTTCCACACCCCTCACCCCCGGGGGACAGAGGGGCAGGGAGAGTTTGGCGTGAGGACACAGGGTCGCTGCGGTCCGGCCCGTTAGGCAAGGAATTCGGTCCCGGATGGGTTCCGGGGAGCCCTCTGCTCCTGACTTGCTGGAATTCATGAACCCCCCATCCCCTACCCCCCAAGAGTTGAAAGAACAACCTTTGGGTTCCTGTGGACACTTCTGCCTCTCCCCGCTCTGCCATCACACAGTGTGGCTCCGACGAGGTGGAAAAGTGGCTATTTGGGAAGGAGGGAGGTGGTCGGGGAGAAGTGGCCAGAAGAGTGAGATTCCGCGGAACCAGGTGCCTATGTCCTAATAGGTCCCGATTCCAACCGATGCAGCACATTTTTACGGGGTGGGGGGTGGTGGGGGGGGGACACTTCCCAGATAGCTGTTATGAAATACAACTCAGATTTATGATCTTTTTCATATTGAACATGATATGCTATGCTAACGCTGCATGTGACAGTTTAATCAAATCCATTTGTTACCGCGAAGCTCAAAGGGGCCGCTGGGATTTCGGGATTATGGGCAGAGTTAGGGAAGCATGTGGCTTTGTCATTCGCCATCGTTTTGCACACCGCCACCCTGCGAGGGGGCTCTCTGTGCGCGCCGCGTCTCGTCTGGCCGCCCTCGTCCCTTCCCCCACCCCCTGCCGCCACTCCGACCCGCTCCCAAAGTGGCTTCACAATAGTCGGTCCTCCAGCGGTGTAGGCAGCGCACCAGGTCCGCCCTCGAGCTAAATAAGGAGACCCTCTCGGCGCCGATCTTTGGGCTGGCTGCTCCATGCGAAGCCTCCGCGACTCAGGCACGCCTAAAGCAACTCATGCAGAAAAAGGAGAAAAGTTTTGGTAAGGTTACCGTCTACCATGGATGCACTTTGCCGGCGCCCGGCGCTCTTGGCTGCTCCAAAGCCCCCCTCCCGGCTCTTCCGCTGCTTTTGTGCCTTTCTGAACGATCCCAAATATTATTGTGGTAACTGCTTTGAAAGACGGCCTGCTTAAACCAATTAATCTGGCGGGGTGCAACAAATAACTGCTACATTCTTTGCAAACCATCCCTGTGTGGGTGCAAAGACACCACCACAAAAGGCTGGAGCATAACTCCGCAAAGGGATTCTTTGTTAGAGTGTATGTATGTTTCTTATTTTTTTTTTTATTTTGCATGTGAGCTGCATCAAAATTGAACTCAGTCTTGCAAATCTCTTGTTGGCCTTTGCCAAGCACTAGCACTTTGCTGCCATGGTAACTGTAATTAAACTGATAAGAGTGGAAAAATGTCAGTATCTCTGAGCCTTGCAGCTGCATTGGAGAAAAAGGGAATCAAATTGGTTCCCAGCTCCATTGCTCAAAAAGTGGGGGGGGGGGGGGGATGGGAGTTGAAGGGGCAGAACAGAGTTAAGCAGCTCCAGTGCCTGAGATCTGGGGACATCTATTTGCATTGTTGTCCCTTAGGGGGCTGCAGCCTGTAGGGATGCTCTGGGCCAGTGAACAGAGAGAAACAAGCTTTTAGGCCCAATCCAGTTCTCCAATCGGGACTGGGGGCTGGGAGAGGATGAAGATGGGCAGGAGGAGAGAAAATCTTTTGTTTGGTACCTCTTGGCAATCGAATGGCTGTGTTGGCCAAATTCTTTTAATCTGTGTCACTGCTCCCAGCTGCAGAACCCGCATTCCCATTTTAGCATCTTCCTGAGGCACCTCATCTCTGCCAACCCCCTTTATGTATTCCCTCTAACAATTCCTTCTCCCAAATTGTTCCCTGTGAATCTTCCGACGGGGACAAAATGTTTCCCATTCAGTATGGGTAGTTAGTCCAAAAATATAAAAGACTGTGTCTAAGTGCTGCAAATCTTTTATTATGATTATTTTTTTAAACCCCTGTGTGTTGTGGAGTTGTGGTTACTTTGTTGTGTTAACTACTGAAGCTGAGACTGCTCGGATGAATGGCACAGAACAAGGGAACATAATGGAGGCAATCAACCGTTAGGCCGCCTCACAATGCAATCCGGGCAATTAAAAGCTCACCAGAGTTTAAATGAAATGGTTCTACTTATTTCTGCACACCACACTGCACAGGCTATTATTTATGTCTTTTTTTAAAATTATGATTTCCCTTAAACTGTCAAATAACTCAGAATGGCAGGGTCTCAGAGGCAATAAGAATTTCCCTCAGAACAATTTACATGCCAATCTTAAACTAGTTCTGAGTCCTGATGTGCTCTGAGCAACTTGTGCCATGTGTCTCAGCCCCCCAGACCTGTGCTCTGGATGGTGAGGGGAGGTTGCTGACTGCTCGATGCCTTTTAGGTTCATGGCAAAGTGGTGACTGCAAAATAGTTCTTTTCCTACAGCTGGTAAAGTTGCATGGTATTGAAAAGATTTCCCTTTCAAGAGAAGTGGGAGGATGTTCGCTAAAAGAAGGCTCCGGGATGGCGTGTAAAATATCAAACTCCTTTTCCGCCCAAGGCCAAACAGAATGCAAGAGTTTCAAATATTAATTGGCCTCTGAGTGCTAAATTAAAATGTCAACACAACAAAAACATTTTGTGAAGACAAGCAGGGTAGTGTTGCGTGTGCCAAATGTTGGTATTCCCTGTCTTGGTTGCAAAGCATTTTGAATAAAAGATAGCTGACCTTCCAGGCTTGATGGTGGTAACACAGCTCAGAAATATAGCTTAGCTACAACTAAGAAGGATTTTTACAAAATAAATGTGGCTTTGTGATATGGAAAATAATTGCCTTAGAAACTGGGTAATGAGAATGGCCACTCATAATATATCTCTAGATGTTTTCAATAATGAAATCCAGAGTATCACTTAGTAAATCAAAATTTCTCCCTCCCCTTAGGTGCATGATTAAGAGGCACTAGGGTGAGATCTGTACTATAATTAATGGGATTTAATCCTTGTGGAACCTTGCTAGAAGACAGTAACTAGTTCTGATCAAAGAAACTTCATTTGTTAGAAGTTCTAGAGAGTGAGATTTAGCAGAGCTATCAAGGGTTATGATTAATCTACACTAGCCCCTCAGCTCCTTCAAAGAAAAGGAGCAGAAAGCAGGCTATAGGAATACCACCTGCTCTTCTGTTCAAAGCCAGCTGCTAGTTTGCAGCTCCGGAGACCACAGCTACGCAGATCACGCAGACAGAACAGGCACACTGCTTTCTTCCGTGCCGTTGCCTACTCCACTCCTCTAACCAGAGAAGTTATTTTCTAATGGAAGTTCAACATCATAACAGTATTATGTGCAGTGCATGTAATATTTGTAGCTAGGAAAGTTATCCATCTGCGTGGATACTGTGCCTTGATCTTCCTTATCGGTGTGATTTAAAAAGGAAAAAGATAGTGAAGGTAAGAGAGGCGAGGTCTTCATCACAAGACATCAGAGGAAACTGAAGGAGGTTTAACTCTTTTGGAGGCGGGAAGCACGCAGGAAATGTTCAAGACTAGAGCTTGGCATTGCTTTTCTTGACGCTGTTTCAGGTGCATGCACATTTGGTGTTTTGTATCCTCCTGTGTCCAAGTTTAGAACTTGGTGCCTAGGAGAGGAAGCAGGATACAGCAATGGCATCCCTAGGCTGTGGGAAGGCCACCAAGTGTAGTGTTTTAACTCTTGTTCAGCTTTGAGCCAGTACCTTACCCTCTCTTAGGCCTCCGTATCCTAATTTGTAAAATGAGGGACTTTGGAATTGATGGATGCCTGTGATACCTTACAGTGCTTAAAGTGAGTTATTTAATAAATAGGAGGCTCTGAATAGTTAGGCCAGGGTTGTTTTTAAAGCTGGGTATTAGGAGAGAAGAAACGCAGGCGAATGTTCTTTCAAATTTTAGTCAAGTTGTAAAACCCAGCTAGACTCCTTGTTTATGATGGAAAGATATCTTAAAAAATATAGAAACGTCCCTCTGTCTAGGATAGCATTATATAATATATGTACTGTACATATTACATTCATCTCTGTATGTATATATTCAGACTTTGCCTTCTGTTGTTTTCTTCTATAAATAAGTGCATGTGAATGGTAATAAATGACATAATCCTATACTTGAGTTTTATATAAGAGTATATAGTAGAATATAGTTAGGTAATCTGCCATTAATACAGGCACTGAATGATGCTTGAGAGTATACTTTTTTATTTTAACATAATGAATACTTTGAAATATCAAGGGCACAGAAGGAAGTATTTGGATGCAAACAAGAAATATAGGATTGGTGAACTTTTGGGGTGACTGTACTGTGTACTTAACTATAAGCATCTTTGCTTCTAAGTAAGGATAATGTAATCTCATTAGGGTACACGCTCCTTCTGTCATCTGGCACCTAGTAAGTGAAATTTTTAATCAATAAACCCCTCCCCCCAATTTTGACTTTTATAGTCTGCATGGACTATTTTGTTAAATAGTTTTCCTTTAAGATTGGTAGCCATTTGCTCACATTTTATCCCTAAAGGAACTACCCTGTGTATAGAATGGCGACACTATACAATTATTTAATGTTATTTAACTTCGTGTACATAGTGTCCTTTTCCTGGGACCAACATGAATTCACTACTTTCACCACTCTACATGTACGACTTCAGAAATGATTTGATAAGAACCTCACAAAGTTTGAGGCTTTCTGTGTCCAGAATATAGTTTGATTTTAGTACAGTCCTAAAAAGAGAGAGTCTCACACTCCTTCAAGGAGGCACTCTGAAATATTTAGCTTGTTTGAGGTCTTCTGACATCCTATGGCTCTGTCTTGTCGTCCCAGCTCTCTTTTGGTTTTTTGTCTCCTTTTAGGTATACAAATGCTCTCAGTCCAGCCAGACACCAAGCCGAAAGGTTGTGCTGGCTGCAACCGAAAGATCAAGGACCGGTATCTTCTAAAGGCACTGGACAAATACTGGCATGAGGACTGCCTGAAGTGTGCCTGCTGCGACTGCCGTTTGGGAGAAGTGGGCTCCACCCTGTACACTAAAGCTAATCTTATCCTTTGTCGCAGAGACTATCTGAGGTAGGACTTACCCTTGCACACCAGTGATGACTGGATTCCTTTTAAAGGACTTTTGTAAGTGTATGTTTTGGTTTGTTTCATTTCCTTACTGCCAGCCGATAGTCCTGAAGGATGTTGACCGTAAGCCTTCAAAATGTGGCCAGGTGCCTGTTAAGCAAATTATTGCTTAAGCGGTGGCCAACAAAACACAGTGTCTAAAAGGTTTCCATTTGGCTTGCCTGGTTGCTCCTAGTTAGGGGCAGATCATTCGACTGCCTGTATTGTCATGTTCATGTCAAGGACGTATTCGGTAGAAATCATATCCTTTTTTTTTATTAGACCCTAAGCGACAAGGTAGGCCAAGCAGAACACGAAATATGCAGCTGCCTTTCTGTTTCAGATTTATCAGGGAAAATCTGTTAGAGATTCTCAACTGGTACTTATTAGTATATTTATTGGCCAATTTTGAAAACTTGCCCGAAGTGTGAATACATCTTTCCCCCACGCCCTTCCAAGTGGTCATAGCAAGATATCACTGAGCGTGAAGAGCCTCAGACTTGCCAGTAGCTGTATGGAAATTAGCAAAGGAACCATCGCCATCCTTGTGGGGAAGTGACAGCCACTGTCCTCACTGCAAACATCTGGACAGTTTCAGGACCCGACAGATGTTCTTGCTTATGAAGCCATGGAGCTGACTAAACTTGTTTCCCGGCATTTAGTACTCGACACATGGACTTCTATTTAAAGGAAGATTATTTGGCTTTCCAGGGAACTTTGTGGCTTGATTCAGCTGCATATTACTTATATTAATAAAGTAGGCTCAATCAAATTGGAGAAGTGATATATGGCATCATTTGGGTTTTCAGATTTGATATGATTAATCATGTTCTTAGTCTAACATTAAGAGATTTATTTTTAATTGTCCCCCCTTATGACACAAAATTTATCAGTCGGTGGTAACTCCTTCACCATCTTAGCTATTTGGAGAGGTACTTTCTAGGAAATTTAGTGCTTCTTGCTATAGAATCCAGTTATTTCTCAGTCCGATTTAATCTTTGACGTATAAAAAAAATTACTGTTTGCTTAATAATAGTTACAAGAGGGTGAATGCAGTACTGTTTTTGAAATTCTAGTCTTCCCCTTCGTAGGACTGCCTCATCTGACAGCCTCCTGACTACGACCACTTGTTACTCCTTCTCTGTGTTCTCTTGCTCAAAATACATGCAAGGTGCCAACAATGGGAAGTGACCCTTTATACCAGGATTTCCTTCATGGTGGTGGCACAACTAACCAGAATTAACTTGTTGCGTGAATTCTCTTAGAACTGCAGTCTTTGAACTTTTCTTTTTGAAATAAAAATTCCCTCTCCGCTCATTGTGAATTAGAGCCTCGATTCTACATACAGCATTTATTTTGTTTTTAATGACTTCACATTGCTTCCTAGTTTGGCTTTATCATTACTAACCAATAAGTCATGGGTTTTTGAATCTTTTTGACTTTTACTTTTGTTTACAATTGTAGTGTCTCCAGTGGATTTATGTCGCAACAATTACAAAATAAGTCGTTTTATAGAGTCTGGCAAGGTTAAGGCGTCCTAATAAGTAGTAAAGACAGAATTAAGTTAAATTTAAAGAAAATTTTGAAAATACCTAGAATTTTTAAGTTAAAAATATAAATTTGCCAATGAAATACCTGTGTCTTGAGTGAAGCTGTTTTGCAGTTGTCAATATAATAGCAAGTGAGAAAGTAACCTTGGACTTATTCTTCCTTATGGTAATAAAATATGATGTTCAATTGCTTTGATACCTCAAGTACATGTTTTGTTGAAGAAAATTTTCAAATGAGTCCATATTGTTGCCCTTTGTAATATAACGTTTAGTAAATTTCTGATAGGCTTAAACTTTTAATGCTTCTTAACTTATTTTTAGACATTCATACTCTCTCAGATATAAATCCTGGTCCTGATTGCCAATATATTCATTTCTCAGGGTACAATTTCCTCTTAAATTGGCCATTACCACATTAATGGCTAGTTGTTATGTTAACAGCCTACAGGTTGTTAATATTTCAAACTAAGTTGTTAACAGCAAGCTTATCCCTTATTTAAACTGAAGGTTTGTTTTATATAACGTGACTTCTAAGGCAACTAGTAATTCATCAACACTTGAAAATTGTAGAAGTGAAATGAGAAATTGATATGTGAGTAAAAACACTGCATTATGTATTACAGATTATGCCACCGATGTGGTATTTAGTTTTCTGTGGGAAGCATGTAGCTCAGTGATATTGTGTGGATGTTCAACAGCATATGTCTCTGGCATATTGAAATAGTCTGATTCTGTATGTGAGGTGGGCAAATACAATCAAGCTAATGTTATTTACAAATTAATATCTTTGAATGTGTACAAATAGTCATCCAAAATGTTCATTGGATGCCTGCTGTGTGAAAGGCATACTTTTAGGTAATGGATGAAATAACTAATTAAAAAAGGGAGATGTACCTAAAATTGTTACTATCAAATCATTTAACAATTATACAAAATGTGCAATATGACCAGTGAACAAGTAGTATTCCGTGGCTATTTCCCTCCTGGTTCTGCACATTTCCTGTCTGTATTTTGCATAACCAGTGCTTAACCATTTCAATCCTATTAAAAATGGCGTAGTTTTGTTTTTGTTCTTTGGATATTACATAATTTCTTTGAAGCATCCAACAGGCCATACATAACTTCCAGGTCTGTATTTCTCTGTCTAAGTTCCTGGGCATCTAAATAAGAATATAGAAAATGATAAAAAAAATTGTTTACCTGTACTAATAAATTATTTGTTATAGGCATTATCCTGGTCTAAAGAATTTTTTTCATATCTATAGAAGAGTGACCTATTTTTAATAATTGTATTTAACTTCCTAATAACTTCTTTGAAAAAAACACACACAACCAAAACAAAACAAAACAAAAAAACATTTTTAATTCTGAACAATGATTTCTAAAGTTCTAATGTTTTATTTTGCATTGCTTGGAGCAATGATAGTGATGACCTGTTTTTACAAGTTCTTTAAGTAATGAATATACAAATTTAAATCATAAGATATTTCTTATGGGTTATCAAAACTATGAGTGTGATAAATTTGATTCCTCTCAGATTTTTTTTCTCCTTTGTGGCACAATTAATATACTTAAGAAAAAGAAAACATTTTACAGCTTATATGCTAAGTTTCGAATCTGAACAGTTCATTTTCCATAATGGGGCTGGTATAATGTATTTTATTCTTCTTTAGAATATAAAATGCACGGGTCTGATGAAAGAATTTGACAGTTTGTAGGACTGTCCTCCGCCTTCATTCATTACCTAAAGGAACAGAAGGATTGACATTCAAAAACTTCCTCTATTAACACACTTTCTGACTTAAACTATGAAGTCAATCTGTCCATCAATCTTTGTATGTCAAGATGTAGAAAGGTACCTGTTAAAAATGTATCCAATACATTTAGAACTTTATATTATTAAGAGATGAACTTATGACCAATTAGAATGGCAGCATCTTTGTACCTTGAACTAGAGCTTAAAATTCATAGACTGCCTAAAGTAGATGAACAATTATTGTATAAAAGTTAGCAAAGATTTAGTAATGGTACTTATAGGACTCTACTCACTACCACACTATCATCTTTATTTCAGTTTGGAAAATATGAATGAAGTAGTTAATGTGTAACCAGAGTTTTAGGATTAAGATCTTTGTGGCAAGTGATAAGAAATCAGAACCAGGAGAAATAGCAAAATATTTTTCAACTCGATGGCAGTAAAGGATATCAGAATCTATCACTTAAGTTTTGGGGTAATTTTTGGTGTGTTTTTGTTAGGCTTAAAATTTCTTCCTTGTGGTATATTTTAAGCATTAAGTCCATATAGGCTGTATCTTTTACCTCTATGAAAAGTGTCTTACACAGAGAATGGACTCAAAGCTCTTTGCTGTGATATATGCCATAGAAACTACTTACAGCTCTTTCTATACGAGAAGCTGAAAATGTCTTATATAAATTTTAATGCAATTTTCTATTTTTATATGTGAGGATGATCTCTTTAAAATGAAACTACTGAGAAAGAGTGATGCTTCGTGCTCCATCAGAGTTGCCAATTAACAAAAAACGGTTTGAAGTTGCTGTGCTTACTACAAATTAATGCTTTAATATAATGACATAGTAACTTTAAAATAGAACATTAAAAGCAATGGCTGCATAAAACATTAATCTAGCTATTGCTTTATTTCACACAGATCAAACCTGGTGCCTCTAAATTTTTACATAAGGTTCAATTAATATTAGTACATAATTAAGGCTTTAAAGGAAAACATGAATATGTTGTTAATATTATTTTTATCTGACAAGATACTTCACAATTTTTAAATGTTGAATAAAGTGTTCATTTTTTTTTTTGCTTCATTGTCATCTTTTTAGTATTACGCAGTTGAAAACATCTTCCTCGGAAAGCAGTGAATTATTGTTATCTGAAAAATAACTTTTATGTTAAATTCTGAAAATTTAAGCTTTTATATGGACTAGAACTCCCAAATAAATCTTTTTCTTCTCTACAAGCTTCACTGAAGCTTTTCTAACACTTTATGATAGTCATAACTTTTACCATATTTAAATGTCTAAGCTAATCTTAGTATTATGAAATATTTTGACATATGAATGTGTTAGACTCTATGGTCTGTCTAAAAAAACACTTGTTATATTCCTTGCAAATTATCTTTATTTGTAGCTTTATAAAAGGTTGTAATTTTAAGTCCATTTTTCTGTTTGTTATCATAAAGCATTATTAAATTATATTTTAAATAATTTAGACTCTATACCATTCATGGACCATTACAAATCAGGAGTGATAATTTCATTTTGTAAAATACTTTTGAAGGGAGCCCCTCACTTTAGAAAAAAATCAATGGATTCACACCAGACCTCCTCAGTGTCAACTGCTTTTCAATAAACTTTTAAGAATATTTCATCTGCACAGAGAATTTG